CTGCAGTAATCCGCGCGCGCAGTGAACCGGCCCCGCGCCGCCTGCCGCGCGCTGCACTAATAATGCAATTTGCACCAGACCACAAGCAGTTATTACTAGAACAGGATTATTTCACTGGCAGATTACCATGACAATCAAATAAATGTGTCTCAATTATCATAAAAATAAATAAAACACCGCGATACAAATTGATTTAATAAAGATATGCACAGGTCGATTCCCTCGGCTTCCTCCTCCACACTTGGAAGCCAAGATATGGCTGCGTCATGCTCTACTCGCTGGGAAATGAATCTGTAGGTACTTATACCGATTTACATAATTATTCCATGAACAATGTTTAAAACTACTCATTATCTGGAATCTGGTAAGTTAAGATATCGTTGAAGCACAATAAATAAGAATCACTTATGCCTAGGCCCCGGCCCAGAGCAGGAGAAGGAGTGGTGTAGTTTTTATTATTAAGATTCCCTCTCATTCCACCTAAACATACCTAGCGTAAGAAGGCACACGTGAACGCCCGAATGCCAGTTCTGACAAATTTTTAGGTAAGTAGGTATTATGATGAGACGGATACGCTTCCAATGACGATTATCATAAACTACATCATTAATGCCCGGTTCCTATATTTAACGAATCGTCGTTGTATACGCATTACGACCAAATGACATTACGAATAGTTATCTTGACCGTCTACTGACGGTTAAAATATTTTTAGGAACACCACAGACACCATAGATCTCCATACAATTCGCTTACCGACATCCGTTAGTTGCAAACCGTCAGTAAGTTGCACGACGAGACGTTTGTTATAGGAACGGTTTTAGCTTACGAGTCGTATATAAAACTACTATTCGTAACTAAAACGGATCGTTTCTCAATTATAGGAACCGGGCATAAATGAACTACAGATTAGCCATACCTATACTAAAGTAGCGAGTAAAACAATGCAACAAAACTAATTTAGACAAAATATGTAGTTGACAAAAAATATGTTTTGTCTTGATACATTATTTATATATTGTATATTATTAATGTTTCTTTAAATATTATTATAGTTACAGAAGCAAAAGCAGATTCTTTATAAGTCTGCCGTACGTGTGTTTGTCAGACTGTACTCCTCCTAAACGGCTTGACCGATTAAAATGACATTTTCTGTACGCGTTTGAGTTGCGCCCTGGATGGTTTACATTCACAAATCAGTCCGGCAGATGGCGCTGATTGCTTTGATAGATATCGGAAACGGCCCTAACGATTTCAATGAACTTTGAAATGTGAGGGTTTTCGGGAAGGGGCTGCTAGTGTTTATATAAAAGTATTAAGAAGTATCTAAAGCATTCCTACGTAAAAGTTACTTTTCGTCCTAGAGGCCAAAAATAAGGCGAGTGCAGCCACATATAGATCTAGTCTCTGGTTATACTACAACCTGTAGAAACAAAAGAAGCGTAAAGCTATCAGGCTGCGTACAATCCGCCATAAACGGGGACATTACGTTGAAGGCGAGCGCGATATCTTCACGCGCCGATATCGGAATCTGTAACGTTCCGCACCACCTTTGCTAATCTGAAGTAAACATTTAATTTTCGTGAAAAATGCAGCTTTAACGACAGCTATAAATATGAACTATAGAAAAGATAAAAGCTGAACAATGCTGTGTGGGGATTATAAATCGCGGCCGGGAGCGGGGGCTGACACAATCGAGTATTAACCACGCCGGCTGAGCGCGAACAATGCGCCTTGTACGTTATTTATTGAGGTTTAACGTGCGCGGCCGCACCCACCGACACTCTTGTAATATTCTACGATATAATTTCATACAAACGAGCTTGTTATTGATATTTTATTCGAGTTATATTATTATCCATATTATATTTCGAGAGCCGCACACTCACACGCATTCTTAACACAACTCGATAAAAAAATACTTGAACGAAAACAGTCAAACTGCATCATTTTGACTGTATGTTAATTATAGGTACCTACATAAAATATATCTATTAAATTTCGTTATGTATTGCTAGTTTATTCCAAAGCTATACATGTATTAAATACAATACGTTATGGCACGTAGTTATCAAACAATTCAAAATGCAATGTTCAGCGTATCTGTACTACACACTCTCCATCCCCCTTTGTAAGAACAAGCGCAGTCGCGCGGCAGCCTATGTATGGCGGGAGGTGTAAGGTCCACAAGTGCACGTATGTACTTACCTACATACGTTACGTAACGTATACAATGGACCTCTTAACTCTCTAAGCTCCACTTAAACGAACCACTTTCTAAAGAATAGGAAAGTCCACGTAGGTACTCCGCGTCACTCTTGACTTCTTTTTACTCTTGATAACAGAAGAAGAATATTAGTTAAGAGATAAGATAGAAGTTAAGAAAATGTTTTTGAATACTACATTTCAATTAAATGTTTCTTTACATGTTTTGTCACTAAAACTGAATGATTTCTGTGCATCCGCAATCCGCAATCCGCAACAGTTCCTGTTGCGGATTAAACAAGACGCCAAAATACTGAATTCCGGCGAGATGAAGAATATTTTTTTTAAAAGCTTCACACGAGAATTTTCTCCTGTGTCTTTGGGTGCCTTTGCAAACATACAAATTCACATACGCATCACACACAGACCCGGAACAAAAATTTGTGCATCGCACAAAGAAAAATAGTTACGTCCGGGAATCGAACCCGTGACACGTTGCCCGGCAGCCAGTTGCCCAGCCACCGCGCCAAGCGTGCAGTCAAGTCTATAGAAGAAAAGACTACGAAAAAACGAAGAGTTTCCACATTACTCGGTTTATTTAATACCTGACAGAGCACGGAATGACTTAAGCCTGGAACGGCACAAAAATACTGAACAATTACTGTAGTGTTCTTAGTGCATCAGGCTCATTTGACTAATTCTTATGGCGTGAACTGTTTCGAGTTGATTTATTATGAAATCCCCAACACTAACTACCTAACATTTACTGTAACACGCTGTGTAAGAACCATCTTGGGTCGCATCATTGCTTAACATCAAGCGAGAGAGTGGCTAAACGCCAGCTCATTAAAAAGCATACAACTTATGTATGGGAGAGCTCGACTGAAGACATCAACAGTGTTGTGTTTCGCCGTGTGAGTCAGGTTCCAGAAAGCCTTCCTATCCCATCCTCAATCCCTAATTCTCAAACTGACATCAGGCCGGTCACGTACTCATAACTCCTTTGCGGATGGGAGTTTCCAGAGCTAAGTAGCTCTGGAATAATACCTGTCAAAAGTCCACTGTTGTACTAATATATTCTCAAATCACTAGAACAAGTAACTAATCTACAGTCGAAAGTAGTTTTTTCTTAAGTGAAGCAAATCGTTACAGAGTCTGCGTGGTAATTGTATCGGTGCTACTGCGTGGTAATATGCAACTACATACATAATACAACATATATCTAAGTAGGTACAACACACAATAAATATTAGAACCTACCTACCAGAGAACAAGGTTTGTTTTCTGAGTACTAAGCAGTAAGTACCAACGTAAGAATAATTAATCGTCAAAGTATCTTTTTCTAAACTGCTCAAGTTATTTCAATATCAGGATAAAGAACCTACTTTATGTCAAGAAGGATAAATGTAACGGGTATAAAGGATTATAGTTATGGAAAAGTTAGTAGGTAATGTTTAATCCATTTTCAGCGACAGTATGGACTTCTGTGCCTGAAGTCCCACAGCGCGGCATGATTCAAAACAAAGCCAACAGTTTTGCCCGTCGGCAGTCGGCGCGTTTGTATGCACCGCATCATTTGCTACCGCCAATTTGCTCTCATCCGCTGCGCATGCGCATACGGGCGGCGACTCAAAGCCCAAGCACAGTTTTTACACAAATAAGCGACATATTTGGGGTAATTAACAGAAAACGCCCGACGGCGGCGCGCGGCGGCTCACTCGCTTTTTGTCAACATCATCACGACACGGGAGCTGATGAATTCCATTTCTGACATATGTTTCCGAGCCGCGCACTGCTCGAGTTTTACGAGTATTTCAGGAATTTTTCATATTTAATTGGCTTTTGAGCGGCGTTTTTCTAAAATGATGTCGCGGTTTATTTGTTAATGGCAGTAGGCAGGGATGGTACATACAATAAGAGGTCGTGGTATTATATCCCTTTAAACAATAAGATTAACAGTAATTAAAAAACCCATAGGTGTGTCTCCATTAAGTAGGTGAGCATATGTATGCCTCGTAGGTTAAGAGTGTTTAGTACGAACGTATTGCGCAAGCGCAGCTATTTTGTATGTTTGCGTAAATTAATGAACGTGCCAACATTAAATCATTTGGTACATGAAACGTTTACTGGTGCGCTTAGCGTTAGAATTTTCAGCAACATATAGCGAACAATTAATTATGTTCTTATCAGATGAGAGTGCGCCCGCGCAGCCCGATACTTCGGTACACTCCGAGCTCTATTGATTAATTGTGAACATGTTTCTGAGTGACCAACTTGAGCCTAATTAAAATACGAACATGAGTATGTAGCTCGCTGAAACCCTAACTATGTTCTGCCCAGATTGCCGGCGTATCAGTGGCTCGCATCATTCTCAGTTACAGTACATTTGTTAGCAACACGAATTAACGAACATAAAAAATATCAATTACAAGGAGCGTACATAGTACATAGAGGTGTGTCGGATCCCCGCCGCATACATAGCGCGGCGCGGCGCGGGCGCACCCTGCCTACTCGACCGGCACGCATTTTCCTCGGCTCTCGTCTCGCTCGCTGCCCGAGCGCATCCGACCGAACGGGAAAACAGACATATTTCTCCATAACGTCATAATCTAAACTCAACCTTATTCAAATGAGGTATGGTTTAATTTTATCTGGCAAAATGAATGATGCATCAACACGCTTCAAATAGAACACGACATGGAAAAAGGAAAGCGTTCGAAATGAAGCGCAGCGATTGGCCGGTGCGGGCCAATGGCAGCGGGGGGCGGGGCGGGTGGTCGCTGGCAGTGTGTCGGCGGCGCTCGCGCACATGTGGCGGCGAAGCGTCGCGCGACGAACGTGAGTGCCGCGGTGTCCATGTGAAGTGAAGTGACTACTGACATGATGCTGGGCGGCATGGACGGCAAGGAGTACGGGGCGCTGCACGCCGCAGCCGCCGCCGCGGGATACGCTATGGACACCGGTGAGTCTGCTCAGCCCTGCTACCTTATGTATTTACACTCATTAATTATTGTTTTTTAATTAACATCGCTGAAAAATTGCCAAAATTACAGAAAGCAGAGAGTAAAAAATTTTTTATGTTATGTTATATTGAACGTTATGTTACCCCAAAGAGGTAGAGGACAATACATTACAAAATAAAAAATTAGACTGAAAGACTAACACTTTACATACCTAGTAAATTCTGATAAGACAGAGAGAAAATAAAGTTTCGGGAACATTTACTTATATACTTATTGATTTTTAATTGCTATCCACAACTCTCCATAAGAAAATTAATACCTACTAAGAGCCATATTTAAAAAATACATCCATGCATTTTCTAAATATGGTAATGAGTTCTCTAAAATAAAATACATACATACTACAAAAATAATCTGAAATAGGATTCACAAAAATACTTGAAAACATTTTTAGTTTTGCTAAAGTACTAACTAGAGTAAAAATACGGTGTAGATATATAAGTAAATATAGTTCAACAAACTAAAGATTTCCTTAAACAATTAGTAAAGTAGGGCCTACAGCATCACACAGATACTAAATACAGTTTGGTACACGATGTAGGTAAAAGAAGGTAATTTTGTACATTTAAAAATTCTGCATTGATTAATTTAAAACAAGAAAAACACCTCCATAGCTTACAGAGAAAAAAAGAGTTAAAAACCGAATAATAACTTCAAATAATCCTCCTTTGAAACAAAGGCTACTTAGATGGATTCTTTCAGTAAAACATATAATAGCAGTATAATAAGAGATGGTGAGAAAAATACTTGTTAAAATAGTACCTACTTAGCTGATTCGATATATGGTTTGCTTATTTATAATCCAAATTAATTAACAATGAAACGCAGGTTCAACATAAGCAAACATCCCCAAATTGTAAAAAATGTGTAATGTAAAACACGGTGTAATTGTTGGATGCCATTTGCTTGACACGTTACATTAAGATGGCGGCGTTGTGTTGTACCTGCGCAGGCGCAGTAAACAGAGAGCGAACAAGTAATTAAATTAGAAATTATATTTGTTAAGCAAACGTAACATAAGCTCCGCAATATGTAGGTACATACCTGTCTGTTTTACTACCAAATACTATAAACTTTAATAAGGAACGAAAGAAAAATTTGAGTAGGTACCTAAGAAAATTTTAAATTGTTGTTTTAGGTATTAATTAACATTTGATTTGATCTGTTCTTTACATTAATAATAGAATAATAGTTTTTTGGATCTTTCGGTGTATTATAAAAATAACAATACCTATGTGCTTAATAGAGTTCCATGATTTTGAGACTTTCATATAAAATACATGTATATGTAAACTACATCATAAAACTCTTTGGTTATTACGGCCATTTTTTTCGGAACTACAAATTTCATTGAAAGTCACGAATAAAAATAACAACAGAAGACAACATTGAAAATGATGTAATGTGATGATAATATGGAAATTAAAGATTAGATTAATTTGTTCAGTAATGATGCGAATGATCAATCAGTAACTTATGAATTGATAAAAATAAGCGTAACAACTTCTTTTATTTCCTACATATGCATAAGTTTAAGTAAATACTAATTCGCAATAACAAAAATTGTAAGTTTAAATGTAGAACGCAATCGAAACGTTACCGCGTTTAGCCCGCCTGATTGGTTGGTTAACTAGGAGCTAGCCAATCAGAGCACTTGACTGTAGATAGAATTTTATTATAGATAATAATGCGTTATTCGGGAGTGGTTGCAAACGCAACTGCCGAATACAAAAGGCTTAGAGTGCACCTTTATAAGCTTAAGTAGCTATAGAAAAGTTTCTTTAGCTACTTATACCATCGATTAGTCATAGATTCTATGTACGATTCTGAAGAAATTTATTCCACAATAAAAAATATGAATGAAAAAGCTCTAAATAGCTTTTTGATGATTAATAGAAATATTAAAATTATATAGGAAAGCTATACTAAACACTTACTGGCATTAATAAGAATGTAATCTAATTTTAGTAATCAGTTATTACCGAATTCGTTGTTAAAATAGTTTTATGTTCGCTAAGGTCGCCAGTTGATACAGTGCGTAAGATAAGATGACCTATTGAACCGGTTCGATCCGGTATCGCGCTCGAACGAGCCCACTTATTTGTTTTCAGCTCTTTTCTGTACTTTCATTACGTTTCAGAGCCTTAAAAACTTGCAAATTTTCCTCAAATCATTACTATAAATAATGTTTTGAAACAAGAACGATTCCAAAGCTTCTTTTCAATGTAACTCGAATTTATTGAAATATTAATTGGAGAAAAGTAGAGCCTACACATCTATAGGGAAAACCGCATACCGGTACTATACATATAAGAAAAATTAAGAATAACTATTTTAATATCGTTTTAGTGAACTAAGTTTAGTATAGTAGTTTCCAACTAGTCAAATTCAATACTTTTATCCAAACGTCAAAAACGATACTTTTGTATGAAAAATTGAGTTATGACGTCATAACATTTTTGCGTCAAATAGCTTACTTATTTCTTAATTAATTAATTATAATTAGCTAAAAAAATCTAAAACTTCGATTGGTAAATAAAAGTATAGTTATTATTCAATATTTTATTGTAATATTGAAACATCGAATTTATTTATTTTTGACCTAGGAAACCACCCAATTTTATAGAAATTACACTATTTCCATTGCAAGAACCTCAAACTTATCTATGAACAAATTAAAGATTGTTATACAGCCAATTTAGGAAGTCTGCTCGTTTTTACAGCCTACATTGTTGTCCACTATCAAATAAAAACTGTCAGATTACTAGATGAGTTGATGACGTAGTATCAGCTGATACAGAAGCTGAGTCAAGCGCAGCCTATGTTTGTTGTGATGATAAAGAACAACACATGTTTACCAATAACTTGCACAATTAATTAGCGCCGCCACGACAGATAGTGATGTGACGCAAACTGTCGATAACTCAGGTCGAACTCGATAAAGGGTCAACATCTCACCGTAAAACATGAATGGCATCATTGCACATTTGCAAATTAATATAACTCTATCATCGTGGGAGAGTATTGCTAACTCTTTCTTTCTCGTAATAAACTACTCATGAAGTAGCTATAATACAACTCTTTCTTAATTAATATAACTAAAAATCGCTGGTTACTCACGTGTGTAATGAACAGCTCTACTAGTTTCGAACCACATTGGGGTTCTTCCTCATGAGCAGCGTGCGCGTACGCGGTGACATCGCGCAGCCTACAAGACTTCCTTTCTTCCTTTAAAACCATCAGGAAAAGTCAGGAAAACTTACTCCATTGAGTAGATACATCAATGTGATCAAATATTATTCACCTTTTATCTTTAACGTATCTACAATCAAAAATGATAGCTAATCCATTAATCATGATAATATTATTACCCAACTCATTAAAAAGCTACTGGAGTTTGCGATATCAATGAGTTCAAAGCATAAGAGATCATTAACAGGGAGATGACGCAAAGATATTGTTTGACTTGCGTCATTACGTAAGGTGAAATGCGTTTTCACATTGTCCATTGACGTTAATTTGTGTTTTACATTAATTAGCGGGTTGTGTTATCATTAGGTATCAGTGGCTGCGAGTAATGTCGATTGATTCGCACGTCATTTGTGACAGGGTAACAAGCGTTAGATTTTGAACTGTTGTCTGTTCAATGACCTGTATAATGATGTCTGATTGTTACACAACGTAGAATTTAGAAATTTAAAGCCTCTTAGAATAACCGTCGTATCGAATATAGGAAAGTTTTTTTAGGAGAGGATTATTATCAAATGTGAATCTTCTCTTGCCTTGGGTGGGGCGAGAAGGTTTGTCAGACTTTTACTGACTAAAACCCCCTGGTTCTGCTCCTACTCCAGGCCAAGAGCTCGGTTTCTTGTTACGGTTGCCCCGCAATCCCGTCGGTACATGATATTCTATCAGCTCTGTTTAACCCCATCTGTGGTGTGTGGCTCTGTTCTAGTCTAAGATGTGATGATTGTTAAAACAAAACTTAAACACGAAACTCTTAAGATGATCATGTTCAGTAACGGTACTTTCAACGGTACTTTACAAGATAACAATCCTTTTTGCTGCAAAAATGTCTTGCAACATGTTATGATGACATTAAATGGTTTTATTTTACATATTCTAGTAGTATCCCGTGTGGTGCCGGTAGAGTAGAATCAGATACAAATTATCTCCACCTGAACACTTGACGTGGGTATCACAAGAAAAAATTAAGGTACCTACTACACAAACGTGATTCTTTAAACTGCTGCTTTCAAAAAGAGACACAAAAGAAGCAAACCCGGTCTGTCCAACCTCTTATGGTTCAGCAGCTATTTAGGTATCACCGGTTGCTTATGTAGGTGTGTTTTACCTAACTTGAATTGTATTTTTCTCTAATTTAGTAAGCTGCCGCGCCGGTGACCCGAGGCCGGCGTTAGCGGACGATTTACATCCAACAGTTTATTGTTGCCGGTCAAAAGATAAAAAATGACTTTTATAAACACGTTTTCCTGAGTCAATTGCGAATATTCTCCCTTAAGTGTTCTGCCAAATCCCCAAAGCTTCAGGCGCGGTGATAGCATTAATTATGTGATAAGAGTTAACACTTAGTTGTATCCAGTTCGCGATAAGCTTACTACGACATATAACTGTAGGTTTGTGATACCTACTAGGTATTATACACTCCTTATCTACATCTTCACTAATATCAAATTTACTTTCATGTCTGTCCATGCGTAATAATTCTAAAATTATAATGTGATAGTAAAATTTCTTTGGAAATTAGAAATGTCACATAATATGTCTGATGAATCTTGAAAAAATTAATAAAGTTTATTACCTATTGGTTAATTAAGATAACACATATAATTCTGCTTGAATAGTGTTTCTCTTGATTGTTGAGTAGTATTTAGGTGTAGTTTAAGTTTTATTCAATAAGTGCGTTACTCTTATCTGT